CGCTCGTGATTACTGGAAGAGAACATCTCGGTAGCTGGACGACTGCGGAGCAATTCCAAAGCGAGAACACTTCCTACATCTTCATTCCAATTAGCGACAGTCCGGTCAAAGAATTCACCAAGACTGTACTACATAGCGTTAGCTACGGCATCGGTAAATGATGGATTCAGCTACACGAGTTACAAAACTTGCAATTTAATACACAACAGACGGAAAGTGGAGGAATGGGAATTGATATCAATGACAGTGACTCAGAACGATGCAGCGAAAAGAGGAGAGTTGGATGGAACGAGGATTGAGCAAAGGATTGAGCAGCCGAACAAGGAGTGTTGAATGCGCTTCAATGCGAATGCTACAGCAGGAATGAATCAATATCGGAAGACAAGCACTACGGAAAGGATCTCTCACCGACATCATTATAACAGGGCCTAGGTTTCGTAGAACAAAAACAGGGCGGACGCATTCAAGCACGTTTCGCATCGGCCTTCGTGGTGCTCTTCGCATCCAGCTAAACATTCTTCACCTTCGCGACCGTGATGTTCGTGCTGTTCGTGCAGCGCAAGCAGCGCGCGTGGTAAAGGTCCGGGGTACTTGGGCTCGATCGTCTGACCCGTCCACTGCTTAAACTCTTCCGCTTTCAAGTTCTCGATCATTACGCAGAAAACACATCGATTGAGAGGACGCGGAACGACGAGGCCATTTTCAACGCTGAGGTAATTGGTGGAGAAGAGTGCGAACCGGCGAAGGAAGCTCGGAGTTGAAGAGTTCTTCAGGATAGCAGGCATAACCGGGGGAGCCTTCGTCATCTTCTTGTTGTTTTTACCCATGCCGACCGTGGCTGCGCCGACGACGTTCCCAGACGTCTGCAGCTGTACACGCTTTTCATGCGCAGTTTTGTACTCTAACAGACGCTTTTCGTATGAGATTCGGACGGCGGCTTCTTTGCTTCGAGATGGGTTGTCATGTTTGCCTCGCCCCCATATTTTTTGATTGCGCTGTACAAATGGTCAATTGTGCCGCAAACTTGAGAACGTGCAGGGTCACATTTGCTTGACCACCGATTCACTCATCAGCTTTGCTCTGTATAGGATTCCCAGCTTTTTTTTGACTTCGGGATCAGTCTCCTCCCAGTGGCTGGACAAACGTCAGGAGAGTGAAGGATGAGTCGCGAGGTCACTTACACTACAAGCGCGTCGCCGATATCCCGTTCCTTTAGATCATAAGTTGCGAGGGCAGACGAGAACGAAATCACGGCGTGTTCCGGTAAATCGAGACATTTGCGGCAGAGACGCTGTGCCGACGGCTTCAGACAAAGTAGGGGCGAACGCAAACACCGTACTTTAAGTAAAGGAAGAAATATATCCCAGGTATGTTCCGGACACATAGCGCATTTTGTGTAGAAGCAGAGGGTAACAATGGCACTAGATAGAACATGAGTTATATTGTGCAGCGTTTGACTAGGCCGACAGATCGTACCGTTTCGAAATCGATCCAGCTAATTTGTAACGCGCCAAAAGATGTTCAGCTGCCTCGCCTTTTGGATGTGCAACTTTCTGGAGGTGACAATAATTTAGAAAATCGTCGAGGATGGAAGAAATGCACCGACGTCAAACCAAGCATCCCACCGTTTATCTTCAAGCGCAAGAGACCTCCAGAACTTTGAGACATGGCTGACGGAGAGGAGATCTAGGGGGTCAAATTCATAGTCTGAAAAGTTGTTCTCAGTCGACTGCAGCGTGTGAAGAGACACATCCATGAAGGTGGCACGCACATGTCATAATCTTGAGCTCCGGCGGCATGAAGGCGAGCCTTGAGAGAGCCATCTTTAATTTACCGCACCAAGTGGCTTCTGGGTCAATCCAAAGGCAACAGTGATACGCTCGAGACGCGACTCTTTGGATGTGGTCGAGCAAGAGGAGCGTGACGGGCGTGACCGAAGAAACTCCCACGACTTGAAGCGGAACACAAGTGGAGCCCGAATTCGAACTCAACATCGTACAGTGAAAATTCCCAACTTTCTATCTTGTGCTGGACTCCAAATATGCCGTTTCTCCGCAAAATGAAAGCTTCTACTGAGCCTATAGCTGCATACTGATACACGCGATCAGTACTGTACGCCGACGGGCCATACAGTACCCAGGCCAAGGGGGGGTGGAAGGGGAAACAAACCAAATTATTGTTCAAAACAACCTCTCTCGCTTCCCCGATTCACATTCTGATACTAGAATAGAATCGTCTACGCAGCTGTTTGCGGCTATTTGGTACAAAGGCAGCACGCACCGAGGTCACGAGATCTGGGCTCAGCTTCATCTCATCCAATTTCTTCTCTCGAGAACTTGGCGCCAACTGGTATGAATGGGCTTCGTTTCACACATCTGGCGGAGGACATTCTAGGTCGTATATTGTGTATTTGCGATTTACACAGGTATGCTCCAAGTATGCTCCCATTCCGACTTCAAGAAGTGCTCACAGTCTGCAGGTCGACAGAAGCTTAAGGCGGACCGCATACGCAAAGCATATATGAGTTGGTTTTAAGCCGCACGGTGGCTCATCAAAATACCTCATAATCACTCTATTCACAACTATTCCACCGCTGAACTCATAGAGGAGGTTGAGATCTTGGTGCTCAGGCCCAAGACCTGGTCCATGCCGGGCTCTGCCCCAACCATCTCGCGCGAAATCACCTTTCCACTTCCCCCTCAGCGCCCCCGTGTTAAGCTTCTCCCCAGTGCTACACATCTCGTTGTCGAACGTGGCTGTCATATTGAGTTGTGACATATAGCTACCGCCGCGCTCGTATGCTCTCTGCGCGATGACCCAACTGTCACTTAGCGCCACTACACCATCGAACTTGTGGATTATGAAACGACCGCTATCTTTCTCGCTGTAAAGATCGTGCCGGCAGTTTTGAGACTTATCGTTATCGATCTCAAAACTGGGACCTCCACAGAGCTTCTGGCAGTGGGTCTCCGGGGTGAACCTCAATTCGCTCAGGACGCCCCGAAATTTCTGGTTAATTAATCCTCTGTGCACTTAGATGGCCTTACTCCCATTTTCTTCTCATCAGTTGGCGGACAGAAATGGCAGTCGTTTTGAAGCGTGAAGGTCTACACCGTGTGGGTGCTTCCTCGGCATGTGTCGTTCCTTGCCTGATTTTTTCCCCTCAATTGTTTCCAGTTGATCTTATGGCTGGCCATATCTTCTTCCTTGCTTGTGATTCACGCCCGCCACACCCTGCACGAATTTCCGCATCCGTGCAGGAATCTGGCAGCCCATCTCGGAGATTGCCTTACTGGAAGCGACCGACGTCTGTGAAGAACCTGCCACCGTTACTGAGGAACTACCTTTTACCAATCGATTCACACTCCTCAAAATGGTGATCTATGAATACAAGCTCGTGGTCTATGATGTCAAGAGCAAAAAAATACATGTCCGAGAGAAAGTTCCACGTTTTAGGACACACAGGCATATATTACAGGGCCAGCAAGCTAATGCCAAGCATCGCTGCAGCAATCCCAGCTAGTTTCGTATCAACAACTGAAATATCTGCGGCGCCGGTGGAAGTTGTCGTAGACGGGACAGGAACGGACGAGGAAGGCGCAGTAGCACTCGAGACCACACTCGCGCTAATTGGCACGGACGTTGTGAACGTGGTGGTGCGTGGTGGCGATGAAAAGGTCGAAGTGATGGTGGTTAGCGTAAGCGGGACCGATGAGAACAAAACCCCTCCCGCAGAGCTAGAGGCACCACTCGGGCTTGCGCTGCGGGATCCTGTAAGACGTCAGCGCGAACCGTAATTAATTGTCAGTGGAATAGGCCCACCAGATACGGAGCCAGAGGATGAAGCTGGGGGAGAATTATTTATATATTGTTATGGGGCGAGATATTGCTTACCGCACATCGCGGAGAGTAGTGCGCCGACCTCGCTCTTCTCTGCGGCAGAACACGACGTGCCAGCGGCACACTGAATAACCGCCGACACGAAGGTTGTCTTGCATAGGCACGGGGCGTCGGTCCTACAGTCCGTTCAATTATTCTGATTGCAAGTAATGCCCAGCACAGGTTCCAAGTAGGAATAAGGGTGATATAGTGGAGAAAGAGAAGAAAGAGAAGGCAGCAAGGTGAATGTATCACTCACAAAGCGCAATTCACCTTATTCGCCGCCGCGCGCGCGCAGCCCAGTGCGCAGTCTGGCAGATCGGATGGCGCTTGGGCAAGGACAAGCACGAGAGAAGAGAGTAGCATATGCAAGAAAGCAAACACCGTGAGCAGCATCTTCAAGTCGTGGTGGGCAATGCAGAAGAGTCGATGGTGTCGGAGCCTTGGAGGCTGTCCTCAAATACAAATAAATTTACGGAAGCATGACTATTATAAGCGTGTGAATTTATGTTAGAAGGCTTTGTATAACGGCGCCCACACAAATAAAGCTGAAGGTTCATCCAGTTTTATTCTCCCTCCCTGAAGATGTTGAATACCACTGCAGGTAGTCTGCGCGCCTTTCTTGGATCCACATAGACTGTGATCCAATAAATCCGACATGCCACGCACATTCATAGCCTGGCAGGATGGCGCAGGGTGCGCGTCAGGCTGTCCATGGGATATCATTGTATGATTAAAGGTGAAGGTTCCCTCCTAGACCAGTGACTGTCTGCATATATATGAGAGGCGAGCTCGTCGATATACAGACAGTCGTCGCATCATACTTGAATTGCCATTATGAGGGAGTCTAAGTTGTCTCGTGTGGTCTAATGGTTACGGTGGCCGTCTATCGCAAAGTGTAGCTTACGGTTCGATCAGGGTTCGAGTCACCGCGTGAGCGTATCTCTAGCTTTTTGATTGTCTATCTCATGTGGGCGCAGCTTTTGTTTCTGAGGGGTGTCAGACATTGGACAGGGAGTCAGATCGCTATCCTTGGCGCGCCTCTTGGCGCGTTTGAAATGTGTATGGTACAAATCTGCGGATAGGAGGCGAATGATTCGAAGTCATGGAGGTGCCCTTTGTCTCATGTGGTCTAATGGTAACGATGTCTGCCGGTCATCTCACGTAAAGTGGGCATCGCAGGAGAATGGGGTTCGATTCCCTACATGAGCGTGTATTTGATCTTTTTTCGGCTGGAAATGCAGATGAGGAAGGGAAGAAGGACCTGAACCAGTGGTCTCGTCTCATGTGGTTTATCGGTACATACAACTCGACTGATTGCAGCCATCTGGAACTGAGCCCTTGTGAAGAATTTAGGCGCAAATTATCCTGATAGGCTCAAAATTGCTGGATCGTGCAGGGGCAGATAGAGAGCGGAAATCAAGAGAAGTTTCAATGCCTTGGGGAAATTTCGAAGAGAGAGACTTGTTCTCGATGTATCCTTGAATAAAAGCGGAATTTTGAAGTCTACGCGGTCCACATTGGGCCCACAAGAATGTTTGGTATTTGATGCGCCATCAACGCGCTCCCGGACGGAGCTGGAGTACGCGGAGAGAATCGGAAATCAATCTACTGCCACCGTACACGACAGCCACTCATTTTCCTCTTGCCTCCTGCCTCATCATCGGCAGGTTGTGGATCCATCGGACCATCAGGTATCGTGCGGTTCCTTCGTACAATTAAAGCCGAAGGTTCCCCGTTCAACTTCAACTCGGGGCTCTGCCATGAGAGGTCAAGTTTTTTTTTTCTTCCATTTTTGAAAACCCTCGACTAACATATCACGGTTTCACGATGGTGAGCTGTAGCCGCCGCAGTGGCAGTGTAGCGTCGCCTCGCGCAATCAACCTCAATCGGCATTCATGACCACTTGAATTGGCACTATTACCGATTCTGAATTGTCTCATGTGGTCTAATGGTTACGATGGCCGAATATCACGAAGTGTAGATATCGGTTGATCGGGGTTCGAGTCCCCGCATGAGCGTACTCTGACTTTTTTTATTGTCAATGTCATATGCATACCGGCGCCCTTTTCGTTTTTAAGCGGTGGATATGACTCGGGCGCTGTAACAGTCAGATTGCCATCCTCGGCACCTTTGACAGATTTTAAAAAGGTGCTAGGATTGTCCAGACAAGATCGTAAGTGAGAAGACAAAAGACAAACACAGTGAGGCAAGAGTCAGACTGAAAGCGAGTTGCTGTTCAGGTCTCCTTTGTCTCATGTGGTCTAATGGTTACGATGCCTGCCTTTCCTCTCACGTGAAAGAGCAGTGCAGGAGAATGGGGTTCGATTCCTCACATGAGCGTGTATTTGATCTTTTTTTTTCGGCTGGAAAAGCAGATGAAATGAGGAAGGGAAGAAGGACCTGAACCAGTGGTCTTGTCTCATATGTGGTTTATTGGTACATACAACTCGACTGATTGCTGCCATTTGGAACTGAGCCCTTTGTGAAGGATTTAGGCGCAAATTATCCTGATAGGCTCAAAATTTCTGGAAAGATCGTGCAGGGGCAGATAGAGAACGGAAATCAAGAGAAGTTTCAAACCGGCACGGTAATGTGATGCCGAGCCTGCCGAGCTTCAAACACGGCTTCACCCCCCGAACCAAACAACCTTCTTTTTCTCCTCGCTAACCCGAAATGCCGCACAAAAAGGCCAAGCGATCCATCCGCGAGCAGCAGCGCTCAGCACAGTGCGTCTCCTCTTCATACTCTCTTCTATCTACCTGGTTTTGACTGGCTGAGGGGTGCGGATCTGGCGCCGAGCAATCGAGGAGGTGGGGACGCACTCTCCAACGAGCCCCTCCCGAAGTCGTTCGTGCGCGCGCTGGGGGCTGCGCAGGTGCGGGCGGAGTACCATGCGAAAAAGAAACGGAAGCTGCCGGGCGATGGGGATGACGATGACCTGGGCGGGCAAAAAGCGAAGAAGAAGCGGCGGGTAGACGGGGGAGGGGACCCTACGTCGACGCGGATTCTCCCCGGGGAGACGCTGGCGCATTTTAACAAGTGCGTTATTGTGATACTCTTATTACACAATTTTGCTGATAACCGGCTTTTCGCAGACGCGTGGAGACGAACATGCGCCCACTCGTGCGCTCTGCGGTGCAGTCGTCCCTCGCCACCGAGCGCGCGCAGCGCAAGAAGCCTAACACTACTGCCGCACAACCACCAGCTAACGCCAAAACTAACGCCAATTCCAAGTCTTCGTCTGCACCCCCGAATTCTAAATCCAAATCCAAACTCCCAGTGGACGCAGAGGAGGACGCCCCGCCGCAAGACAAGCACGCGTCGCGCCCGAAGGAGTTCGCGCGCACGTCCAGCTCCACGCCGCGCCGCCTCAACGACGTCGCCATGGCGCCGCCCGATCTGTCCGCAAGCACGCGGAGGGCCGTCGCGCAACTGGGCCAGAAGTCGAAAAGCGGTGAAGGCAAGTCCTCGAAGGCATCCATCCTCTCTCCCGCGCAGCGCCTGCACATGGAGGCAGAGCGCGCCGGCGTCATTGCACGCTACCGTGCGCTCAAGGTCGCGAGAAGGGCGGCCGCGGGCGGGGGCTGGGTGGACGGCGGGGAGCGCGGGGGCGGGGAGGTGTTGGCGGGGGAGGAGGAGTAGACGACTCTTGTATGGATTAATCATGCCTATAAACTCTACTTATCGACAATATACAGTGGGAGGAAGACACGTCCGGCGAGTTATTTCGATCATCCAACCGCCTTGGAAGTACATAGATCCTTGTTCCTCCCTCGCCCCCAAAGAAACGAACTCTCATACAACGTCCCTCTCGTTTATCGCGGCCTTGGGCATAACAACACCGCTCTGTCATCAGTGAGCTTTCGTCGGAGCTGTGAAATTGATTATCTGCCGTGTTCTGGTACTATCTGCTAGCGGGGATGGACGACAGAAGAACGCACTTAATGGAAGGTACGATTTCCTGCAAAATCGACTCGGTGGTGGATGGCCCACATCTGCATTGCGTGGAGCTTCCCCAGTGTGTTCCCCGCAGAAGACGCTCGTTCGATTCGGGGGCTCGAGTCATTGCTCGGAACGGTTTATTTTTTCCCTCGCGTTTGGACTCGGTACACTTTTCTTTTGTCGCTTTGCCTCTGCCTCTGCGTGGCAACTGGTAAAGTGAACTTGCGATTGGGGAAGCTAGGTACGTAGATCATGATGATCGCTCCGAGTGCCTTACAAATGAAAAGGAACAAACACCGCGAACTGCACCGAACGGCTAGAATCAGCGCTGTCGAGCACCGCCTACGGACGCGTTCGAGCTATCTTGTCGACACGTTCGAGCTATCTTGTCGACACATTACTGGTCTAGCTGACGCCGCCATTGCCCGGCTGGAATCTCTTTTATGATTCCCTCTTGACGCGCAAAGATCAACCGGACTTCCGACAAGTTGAAGGTGATACGAGCTCGTGCATACGAAACGACATCGGTTCGATGGTACATCTGCATTGCTTACGTCGCAGTCCCCGCAGAAGACGCCCGTTCGATCCGGGCTCGAGCCATGAGGGGGGATGAAGTCCTTTTTGTTCAAGTACCGCTGTAGGTTGGCCTGTAAGCCAACAGTCATCGCTCATCCAATTCCCACACGAAATTAGTCCCCGCCCTTGCTCGACGCGAGAGTCGCCTCCCAACGTGCCGCCTTCCAACGTTGTTCCATGATGGTTTTCGGCCACAAACCAGCGTCGTCCGGATCGTGATCTTCAACCTCCACCCAGGTCCTCACCTCATGCTCCTCCCTCAGGAAGTCATCGTGAGTTTTGAAATCGCGGCCGTCCCAGTGCCGCAGCCCAGTGTCGTAATTGTCCCAGTGATAGTACTTTCCCCAGCAAAGAAGAAAAAGTGCAGCCGCGTGAGAACGCGAGAGGCAGGATCGCGCCTGGGACGCGGTACTTCGTCCTGAAGAGGAAGTCCGCTTCCGAGAGGTCGTGCCCGTACGTGGGGTATATGAAAAAATCGCGGATGGCGTCCCAGTTTTCCCAGTCGCAATGATAGGTGGTCCGGGAGAGGCGCTTGAGCCCAGTACCAGTCTTTAGAGATGTCGCGGCGGGCGTACGGGATCACACTGCCTACGACGTGGATTGATTACCCGCTCGGTCTGGAAGAGAGAACAATTGGAATATTAGATGATCTATACCGGTGCCGTTCCTGTAATAATGGTGCTGTGAGAGAAACGCTCCATATGTTTGCGAATGCTTTGATGCAGGTTAGGCCGCGACTCAGCCTACTCTGAGCGAATAGCAGCAATGCTGCAGCATTTCAGCGCACACAAAATAGCTTGGGTGCCGTCCGTGGCGACAGGGAGGGCTGGTAGGCTCTGCATGTTGTGGGTCCAAAAGAGCCGAGTTTGAAACTAACGCCATCAACCGGAAAACGGGTATGAAGTATATTCGAACTAAATTCAACTATCTCCGAGTCCCGACACTGATCTTCACCATCTTGCAAGATTGATTTATATTGTACATGAAAGAGACATGGCAAGTATATTTCTTATTCCTAATCTTCGCTGCAACCTATTGCCCAATTCTCGATTAATATTTCAAATCTTCAAATCCGCCCCCCCTCCCCTTTATATACCGCAGATTTTCTCGTGGAACCCTGATACCAAAGAACTTTTTCAGCGCCTCCGCCCTTTCCAGCTCATTCTTCATCACCATCACCACCGTCGTCTGCGCCCCGATGTGCCGGCGTACGGCGTCGCCCACCATAGCGAGGCGCCCGAGGTAGCGCGTGAGAGGGTTGGGCGGAGCGCTGCCTCCTACCTTGCCTTCCACACCCCCGTGATCTGACCCTCCGTCTTCGCCCTCCTCTCCACCATCCACCCTCCTCACTTCGTCATCACTCATCCAAAAAAACCGCGCACACACGACGTTCTCCCAAAAGAACCCCTCTCTGAGGCCTAGCACACAGTCATTGGCCGCGAGAAAGTCTGCCTCTGAGAACTCGTCCTCGAGGAAGGTGTACATAACGCGCCGCGAGGGTGGCTGTGCAGGATCTTTTTTAATCTGCACAGATTCGAGGCGCCACTCCAGCTTTGGTGGATTTTCAGAGTTGGTGGAGGATTCTGTGCCGTAAGTACGGACCAGCGGGGAAGAGAGAAAAGCGAAAAGATAAATAAATATATTAAAATAAAATAAACAAACGAGCCCTACACACCTAAATTCGAATCCACCCGCGGCACTCGCGTAAGCGCGTGCTTCTCCGAGGCCGGCGACGCCCCGTCGACGAACGTTCCCTCCTCGAGCAGAATCGGGTGCACAGACCCCGCGGCGGCAACGTCGACGAGGTACGTGGTGTTAAGCCCTGGCTCGGGCTGCACGAAGAGGATCATGTGTGGGTAGGAGTGGAATATAGGCGGCGCGCCTGGGGGCTGTTTGTTGACGTGGCCTGCGCCGGTGTATACTCTGCCTTGGGGTGAGAGTGTGTACAAAATTTGAAAGCGGACTTCAAACCACCTGAAGCCGAGCCCTCTGAGCATCTGGAATAAGAGTCCGTTCAGGCCAAAGCAGTACGAGCCTCGATCCCCAGGGGATGCGACCATGCGCTCGAACAGGCCCTCGTACGTTATGTCTATCGAGTGGCTTTCCGTGCTGTGCGATTCAGTCATATATATGTCAATATCACTGCACATTCCCGGCGGATAATAATAAAAAAGTAATGCGCACTAATGCATCGCGGTATTCTCAAACGGGAACGTCGTGAGGCTCAGCCGTGCCAGATGTGTCAGGCTCTCCAGCGATGGCGCGAAGTCGTCGAGCTGTACCCGAACTAAGGAACCGCTCACAAAGTATAACATATGTGGACTCGACGTACTTGACCCGGATACCCGATCTTTGCAAGCCACTGACGGACCTGTACGGGGGTGTAGATAGAGGGTCTGTGCTTGATCCAAAGACTGCCGTGGAGGAGGCCTTTTCCCTTGGTGCCGGGATTCGGCGTCCATGAATCCTGCGTTAGATTGGCATTCGAGATCTCCTGTGTACACGCTGAAGTCGAAGCATCCTGCATACGAGGCACATCTGGTGCGGACGCGGACTCGAAGGTCATGGTGTGAGGTGGGGGGGACACTTGGGAGACGCGGATTGTGTTGTCGTCTTGTATTATTTCTACCCAAGGTTCAGGTGACGGGTATGCAGGGACAAATTTGAACTGGGTGACGGGGACATACGGTGACACTGCGGAACTTTGGCCCAAATGGGTGTCAAAAAAGCCGCCCAGACGTCCCTTTATAGTACTTTCCCAAGCTAAGCGAGGAATTAACACCTCGTACTGAGCGTTTGGTCAAAATAGTGCAGTAGCAAGC